GCTCGCAAACAGGGCTCTGGGCTGTCCTGGGTGGGCTTGGGGGAGTCCTTGGAGTGTCCTAAAGCATCCTCAGGGGGTTGGGGGCACACGGTGGCCCCTATGCCCCTATATCAGGTTTGGGGGGGTCTATCACCCCTCCAAACTCATCATGACCCCTTTGTGGCCCCCCCAGAGCATCGGGACGCGGGTGGCCAACCTGCCCCTGGTGAGCTCTGCCTACGGCGTGGTCTCCACCGCCTACGCCTCCACCAAGGAGAGCCACCCCTACGTCAGGTCCGTCTGCGACGCCGCCGAAAAGGGGGTGAAGACGCTGACGGCGGCGGCGGTCAGTGGGGCACAGCCCCTCCTCACCAAGCTGGAGCCCCAGAGTGAGTGGGGCTGGGGGGGTAGGAGGTGGGGGGCAGCACCTCATGGAACTTGGGGTGCCCAAAAAGTAGAGTTCCTGCAAGGCAGTAGGGTGGGAATAATCTGGGTTTGTGTCTCTGGTTTATATCATCATTATATATCATCAAATATGGATGTAAAGGGCTGGGGAAGCTGGAGGAGAAGCTGGGAGGGGGCAGCACCCCGTGATTTCTGGGGTACCCCCAAAAACTGGCCTTAGCAAAGATCCTACAAGTCAAGAGGCTATTAAAAAATATATATTTTCACCTCTCTAGTCTCCACCGCCAACGATTATGCCTGCAAAGGGCTGGAGAAGCTGGAGGAGAAGCTGGGGGGGAGGGAGCACCCCATGAGTTTTGGGGTACCCCCAAAAACTGGCCTTAGCAAAGATCCTACAAGTCAAGAGGCTATTAAAAAATATATATTTTCACCTCTCTAGTCTCCACCGCCAACGATTATGCCTGCAAAGGGGTGGAGAAGCTGGAGGAGAAGCTGGGGGGGAGGGAGCACCCCATGAGTTTTGGGGTACCCCCAAAAACTGGCCTTAGCAAAGATCCTACAAGTCAAGAGGCTATTAAAAAATATATATTTTCACCTCTCTAGTCTCCACCGCCAACGATTATGCCTGCAAAGGGGTGGAGAAGCTGGAGGAGAAGCTGGGGGGGAGGGAGCACCCCATGAGTTTTGGGGTACCCCCAAAAACTGGCCTTAGCAAAGATCCTACAAGTCAAGAGGCTATTAAAAAATATATATTTTCACCTCTCTAGTCTCCACCGCCAACGATTATGCCTGCAAAGGGGTGGAGAAGCTGGAGGAGAAGCTGGGGGGGAGGGAGCACCCCATGAGTTTTGGGGTACCCCCAAAAACTGGCCTTAGCAAAGATCCTACAAGTCAAGAGGCTATTAAAAAATATATATTTTCACCTCTCTAGTCTCCACCGCCAACGATTATGCCTGCAAAGGGCTGGAGAAGCTGGAGGAGAAGCTGGGGGGGAGGTAGCACCCCATGAGTTTTGGGGTACCCCCAAAAACTGGCCTTAGCAAAGATCCTACAAGTCATCAGGATGATAAAAACATCTGGTTTTATGTCTCTAGTTTCCACCGCCAACGAATACGCCTGCAAAGGGCTGGATAAGCTGGAGGAGAAGCTGCCCATCCTGCAGCAGCCCACGGAGAAGGTAGTGTGGTGGGGTGGGGTGGGCAAACACCCCCCAGGTCCCCCCCCCAGTGCTGCCTAACAGGGTTTTCTATGCCCCCAACCAGCTCATCTCAGACACCAAGCAGCTGGTGACATCCACGGTGACAGGGGCCAAGGATGTCCTGACCAGCACCATGGCTGGGGCCAAGGACGCGGTGACCAGCGGGGTGACGGGTGTGATGGACATGACCAAAGGGGCCGTGCAGGGCAGCGTGGAGCTCACCAAGTCGGCGGTGAGCAGCGGCGTCAGCACCGTCATGGGCTCCACCGTGGGCCAGATGGTGGTGAGCGGGATGGGCTCCATGCTGGAGAAGTCAGAGGAGCTGGTGGACCATTACCTGCCCATGACGGATGAGGAGCTGGGTAAGGAGCTGATCACAACCCCCTGGAGATGTGTTGTGGGCTGGTGGGGGTCCCCTTGGAGAGGGGTGGGTAGAGCCTGGGCAGGGTGATGCTGGCTCTACATGGGGGTGGTGGTGGTGGGGCCACCTCAGCAGCTCCTCTCTCCCTCAGCCAAGCTGGCCACGGCCGTGGAGGGCTTTGAAACGGAGCAGCAGAAGCAGCAGCAAAGCTACTTCGTGCGTTTGGGTTCCCTCTCCACCAAACTGCGGCACCGAGCCCTCCAACACTCCCTGGGCAAGCTGCAGACCGCCCGCCGCAGCAGCCAGGACGTGCTGGTCCAGCTCCAACGCACCCTCGACCTGGTAGGACCCATCCCCACGTGTCCCCAAGTGCCACCCCGGGGGGGGGCTGGAGCAGACCACCCACGCCAGGCTCTGCTTCTCCTCCCAGGTGGAGCACCTCAAGCAGGGCATGGACCAGAAGCTGCAGGGAGGGCAGGAGAAGCTGCAGCAGATGTGGTTGGAGTGGAGCAAGAAGCAACCGGGTGGTGGCAAGGACCTGGTGCCACCAGAGGTAGGTGGAGGGCACAGGGGTCCTTGGGGGGACACCCGGTGTCCCTCTCACCCCTCACCACCTCTTTGCTTCCCCTGCAGCCGGTGGAGTCGGGCACGTTGGCCATGCTGCAGGGCTTGACGCAGCAGCTCCAGAGCTCCTGCCAGCCCTTGGTGTCCAGCCTCCAGGGCCTCCCCGCCAGCATCCAGGACAAGGCAGGGCAGGTCCGGCAAAACGTGGAGGAGCTACGGGCATCTCTTGCCTCTGCTGCCTCCCTGCAGGACGTGACGAGCGGCGTGCTGGCCCAAGCCCGTGCCCATGCCACCAAAGCTCGCCAGCTGATGGATGAGCTGGTGGAGCACGTGGCCCACAACACCCCCCTGACCTGGCTGGTGGGACCCTTCACCCCTTTGGGCCAGCGCCTGGCGGAGCTGGAGATGAAGTAGCATCCCCTGGGGTGGGGGGACATGGATCTTGTCCCCCCCAAGCCTAGATAGGAGCATCTACTAACCCCTGCCTGGCCCACCTCGCCTGTAACCTTAGTGCCTGTCTGTCTGGGGGGCCCCTCCTGCCCCCCGTGCAGCTCTGTCCCTTGTCACCTGTGCCAGGGACCTGCAGCAAAGTGCCTTGGTCCCCCCCCAAGTGCCTGGTGGGGTCACCTCCAACCCTTTGTGTCCCCTCGTCCTTGGTGCCTTCAAGTCTTGTAGGGTCAGGGATGGCTTGTGAAGCAATAAACTCTGGGTAGTTTTCACTGGGCTGATGTGTCTTCTTTGGGGGGTGGGGGGGGGACCAAAGTGGCATCAGGGTCACCGTGCCACCCCAGGTAGGGGAGCTACTGGCAGGAGGGATGATGTCACAGCCCTGGGTGACCTCACAGGGTCTGGGGCTTCTAGTGGAGTTGCTGGAGGGGACAGTCCTCTGCTGAGAGACCAGGACACTGGCATCCTTTCCCCCCCCACCCCCTCCTCACCCCCCCTGAGAAGACCCCATGGCTGAGGGTGAGTGCAGGGGGTGCTCTGGGGACCTTCCACCCACCTCATGGCCCAGTGCCAGCCTGTCCCCTGCCCTGGGGGAGCAGGAGGTGGCACCAGGATGCCCCCAGCCCTGGGGGAAGAATCAGACCTGAGGGATGATGGGGGGGGGCTCAGACACAGCCCCCTGTCCCAGCAGTGGGGGGGTGGTGGGGGGCAGCACTCCAGGTCCCCCAGTCCAGGTGGGACCCTGCTCTGTCCCCCCCACCACTGGTGATGATGGCCTTGGGGCACCATCTGTGGGTGCAGGGTGAGTGCTGGGGGCTGAGCAGAACCCCAAACAATGCCCCCCCCAGAGCCCCTCACCCCACACAGCCACACCCCACCCCTCCTACCAGCAGCCCCCAGTGCACCCCACGAGGAGATGGGCACTGAGGTTCCCCAAGGGGCACATCTCGCCCCGGAGGTGGCACTGGGGCTCTGTGGTACCCACCTGCACCCCAGGTGTCAACGATGTGCCCCCCTTTGCAGGCAAAGCCACCCAGGACCCCGCAGATGTGGTCACCCTGCAGCCACCCCAGCAGGTACCCTGTCCCCAAGCCCCTGCTTGGGGTCCCACAGGTCCCTGGAGGGGCCCAAGTTGTGTGTCTGTGTCTGATGGCAGCTCCTGTGTGCCCAGGGCGCTGCGGGCTCCATCCTGAGGGGTCCGGGGATCCCCGAGGACACTGGCACCAGCATCTCCTTGGTCATGGCCACCATCCTCCGCAGCCTGCTGGGCCCCACGGTGGGGGCAGGACAGCGCGTCCTCCAGGGCATGGAGAGGGCCCTGGACACGTCCCAGCAGTGGCTGAACCATCACCTGCCCCTGGGGTGTCAGCGTTGTGCCCCCCTTTCCCCCCCCTTTGCAGGCAAAGCCACCCAGGACCCCGCAGATGTGGTCACCCTGCAGCCACCCCAGCAGGTACCCTGTCCCCAAGCCCCTCCTTGGGGTCCCACAGGTCCCTGGAGGGGCCCAAGTTGTGTGTCTGTGTCTGATGGCAGCTCCTGTGTGCCCAGGGCGCTGCGGGCTCCATCCTGAGGGGTCCGGGGATCCCCGAGGACACTGGCACCAGCATCTCCTTGGTCATGGCCACCATCCTCCGCAGCCTGCTGGGCCCCACGGTGGGGGCAGGACAGCGCGTCCTCCAGGGCATGGAGAGGGCCCTGGACACGTCCCAGCAGTGGCTGAACCATCACCTGCCCCTGGGCCAGAGGCAGGAAGGTAAGAAACCCCCCCCCAGATGCTGCTGGGGGGTTTGTCCCCTTCACCCTGAGATGCTGCTGGGGTTCCCCACGTTCCCCCTTTCCATGTCCCTCCCTGCACCGGGACACTGCTGGGGGGGGGGGGTCCCCATGTACCCCTCACTCTGGGATGCTGCTGCGGGTCCCCACCTTCCCCTTCACCCAGGGACACTGCTGGGGGGGTCCCCATGGTCCCCCTCACCCTGGGATGCTGCTGGGGGGTCCCCAAGTCCTCCTTCACCCTGAGATGCTGCTGGGGGTCCCCACATTCCCCCTTACACAGAGATGGGGGTCCCCACATCCCTGTCACCATGGGATGCTGCTGGGGGTCCCTAAGTCCCCTACAGTCTGGGATGCTGCTGTGGGGGGGTCCCCATGTCCCCCCTGCCCCAGGATGGTGTTGGGGGGGGGTCCCCAAGTCCCCCTTCACCCTGAGATGCTGCTGGGGGTCCCCACATTCCCCCTTACACAGAGATGGGGGTCCCCACATCCCTGTCACCATGGGATGCTGCTGGGGGTCCCTAAGTCCCCTACAGTCTGGGATGCTGCTGTGGGGGGGTCCCCATGTCTCCCCTGCCCCAGGATGGTGTTGGGGGGGGGGTCCC